CGCAGCGGTTCGGGGCAGCGGCCTGGGCCTGCCGCTCTCTAAACCCAGATCAGTGATCAGTGTCGTGTGCTCGCTCGGTGCCTGCTTAATTTAAAACACTTTTTAAAAGACTTGCGTCAATGTAAACTGGCTCTGTATTTTAAAACGTTAATAAAAATCCACACGGGAAAAGGAGTAATAACACACATCCAAATTCGACAGCGGTGAAAATGAGATTTTTTTTTTTTTTCTTCCTTTGCACATCAGACGAAGGCCACCGTCAACTGGGGTACGGCCTGACCAAGGTTTCCCACTCCCTTTGTAACAGCTACAGCTGTTGAAGGTACTGGCCACTGAAAGACGGGCCAGCCAGTGCTCCAGCGCCGGGTCTGTTCCTCGGGCAGGCTGAAGCTCTGTCTTCCCCTCCGCCTGTTTCTCTTCCCCATGCTCCATCTGTCCCGCTAATATTTCTGCTGCTTTAAAGATCCCTTCGCTTCTCTCCGCCCCAGACTCCCTCCGGTGTGGACGTGAGAAGGGGTCTTCCCTCAAAGCACTATTTTGTTGCTGTTACTCCCGAAGGCACAGCTCTGCTGCCGGTGAGCACCTGGCGACCTACGAACAGCGGTGTTTCCTCTGAGGCCACAAAGGGCATTTTCACCAGGCAGTGACTGCGACTCGCCGGTGGCTGGACAAGGAACCCAACCCTCCTGCGTCTCCCCCCTTCCCCAGCCGGTCGCTGTCCTCCACAGAGGGATCCCCCTCCGGACGGGGGCTCACCTCCCTCCCAGGCAGGCCCAGGGCCAGGGCCAAGCCCCTCCTGAGGGTGCAGCCAGGCCAGGCCGGGGCTGGAGGTGGCTCCTGGATTCCCGGCTGGCTGGTCCGCTGCTGCGACCCCACGGCCGTCCTTCCTGCAGGGGCTGGTTTTGCTGCCTTGATTAGTGGTTCTCCAACAGCTCCCACCAGGTCTCTGCCCCATGTCCAGTCCCATCCGCCAGGATTTAGGGAATACGAGCAGCTTCTGACAGGAGTGACAAATGTGGTTTTCTCTAGCTTCCTTATTATTGGGACACACAAAGTGTCCCAAGTTTCACACGCTGTGCTTTGAAAAGGCTTTTGTGCATTGCCTGAGGTGATGATCGTAAGTCCTGCAGCACTCGGGGTGCCAGGTTTTTAAAAATAAATCTGGCGATTACACAGCCTAAGCCTGGATCTGCCCAAATCTCTGAGGTTATGAGGCCATCTAGTGATCTGCTGGCTTAGTACAATTAAAATGTGCTCTCCAGGATGTGAAAGCTGCTTATAAAGCAGGACCTTTTCTTTAAACGTGGGTGATCCCCAGTGTTCTGAGAGAGGGTGGCCCCTCCATGCTGGGCTGCAGAGAGGCCGGGATGGAGGCAATGCACTGGGAGGAGGCCAGGACCCATCCAGAAGCTGGTGTCCACCCACCACATGAAGGAACCTGAAGTCCACAGACACGTTAAGCTATAGAGATACTTGCTTGTCTTTTACTCTTGTAAAGCAGGATTCGCTCTCAGTCTTCTTGGAAATGATCCCCAAAATTTATGTAAAGGTGCGGACCTTTGTGGTTTAGGCTCAGGAAGGACATTATTTCTCAGAGCCCTTAGGAGAACCATGAAGTTTCAAAGGTCTTGAGTCTTTCAGCAGCTCTTGCTGGTCCTCTCCAAGGAGGGAGACATTGAAAACACTCATAATACCCAAAACTGTGCATAAAACATGCAATTCAGGACAGAGGTCTTTGTGCCCTCTACTCACCACCATGCTAGGAATAAAGAACTCGGTAATGTAGCAGGAGAATCATCAGCTCAGGATGCCATGTAAGATGTGGTAACAGCTTTAAGCATGCTGACAGGTGACGATACACCTCTACCTTGCACATTTTATTTTATGTCTGAGAAGGTTCTCAAAGAAATCTGACAGAAAAGCTTTTTCACTTGGATCTTCAGTCTCTTTGATTGGGTATTTTAACAAGTTGTCCTGGTTTCGGCTGCGATAGAGTTAATTTCCTTCCCAGTAGCTGGTACAGTGCTGTGCTTTGGATTTAGGATGAGAACAATGTTGATAACACACTGATGTTTTAGTTGTTGCTAAGCAGTGCTTACACTAGCCAAGGACTTTTCAGCTCCCCATGCTCTGCCGACTGAGAAGGCTGGAGGTGCACAAGAAGCTGGGAGGGGGCACAGCCAGGACAGCTGACCCAAACTGGCCAAAGGGACATTCCATACCGTGTGACGTCATGCTCAGTACATAAACTGGGGAAAAGCTGGCTGGGGGGGCTGCTGCTCGGGGACTGGCTGGGCATCGGTCAGCGGGGGGTGAGCAATTGCATCGTGCATCACTTGCTTTGTATATTCTATTATTATTGTTGTTGTTGTTGTTATTATCTTTATCATTATCATTACTATTTTACTTTATTTTATTTCAATTATTAAACTGTCTTTATCTCAACCCATGAGTTTTCTCACTTTTACTCTTCTGATTCTCTCCCCCATCCGACTGGGGGGGAAGAGTGAGCAAGCGGCTGTGTGGTGCTCAGTTGCCGACTGCAGTTAAACCATGACACGAGTAACTTCTCAGGTCTAGCTTTTCTGAACTCCTGATATACGATATTACTCAATAGCTACGTGAACCTCAGTGAAGTCACTGCTGTCTAATACAGACCAACATCATGCTGGGACAGTTAAAAAAAATCTTCCCTGCCTGCTCCCAGCTTAGGGATTTCCTAGGTGAAAAAGGAAGGGTGAAGTCCTTGCTTCCCAGTAACGTTGGCTGGGATGTTAAAACCAGAAATCCACTCTTTCTTACTTAACTACAAATATTTAGTTATTGTTGTATAGACTCCTAGCATGACATAAGAAAGCTCCGATACCAGTGATAGCTGCCATCCCTCTTGTGAAAGTCTAGGTAAACCACTTAGACTTTCAGGACGTGCTTTGTGCTGATTACTTCTGCAAAGTATCAAAGCCTGTCCCCTGTGAGAAAAAATGTTTGATTTCAAACGGCTTTTCGCTTCAGATGGTGACATCTTGAGAATTTCTGCTGCTCAAATTTATGGTATACTGTGCAGCCAACTACCACAACTGTGCTGGAATTTGCTCTGAGGACAAGGACGTCTTTGATCACAACATAACATCGATTTGGTGTATCACGGAGGAGTGCAACACTTGCAAAATGCAGTCGTAGAGTAGCACACGAGGGACTCCTGCGTCTCCACGGGAATTAGCGGATTACTGGCTGATGATACAACTGCCCGAGTCTCTGAGGAAATCTTGTTTGAGCCCATTAACAACAAAGAAATGGAACTGCGCAAGGACAGAGAGAAGAGGAAGGCAGAGAGGAGCTACCTTCACATTAGCAAGCCCACGACTCATGAATATTCATAGATAGAAAGGTTAAACGCAAAGGCAGGCAGGCCTGCAGTTCAGCAGCCAGGTGATCACCCCAGTTCATTCCTTCTCTTCTAGCTGTTACAGCTGAAGCTCCAGCCCCAATTTCCAGTCCTCTGTTTTGCAAGGCCAGCTGCCGCAATTCACTGCAACAAAAGGACCTCAAGTGGAAATTCACAGAAGGGAAGATGGATGGATTCAGAGCGCTGTTGGTTTGTAAAAAGCAACCTGACAACTCAATATCAACAGTCAGGGTTTTTGCACATCAAGATCAATTTGTGGTTACCCAGAGGCAGCAGAAGCAAGTCATTATCAAAATGTAGCTGGCGCATTAGCTAGTAGCTAAGGTAAAATTGAATATGAGAGCTCTGGCTAGGTAAGGGAGAGACAATTCAATTATTCTGTTGTGCCTTCAGCTACAATCCACACCCACTTGTTTCAGAATCACGGTACATCTTTTGCAGTTGTAGAATAGATATCCTAACAAAACGAATCACACATTACCTGTAATATGTCCCAAAAGCATTAGATGTGTGTTTCGTAGGATTACCTTCCCTGCTGCCTTGCCAGCCGCGTTAGGTCAGGAGCAGGAAGGCGCAGCAGCTGGCAGAGATGAAGGCATCAAGTACCTTCTGGCAGTGGATGCAAGAAGGAGAATCTGCAAAGTGCAGCTTGGGTATTTTGTTTGGGGTTTTTTTTGGGGGGGAGGGGGTGATGAAATGAGGAGAAGCTGTATTAATCTGA